AAATTTCACGGATTGAAATCATAAGTCATTTGAAGCTAGATCACCATGGACAATGGTATACGTTGGCGCAACTTATTGGATTGGTTGAAGTTAGATATAAACACCACTGGATACCCGTTCAGTGGTCTAGTTGGTTAAGCGCTTGGCTCGAGACTGATAGGTCCTGGGTTCGAATCTCGCCGGGTGCGGGATGGTGGATGCACACTGCTAAGGAGTCCCATACTACGGCGGAACGGCCGTCCAGTGCTTCCAAGTTTCCCATGGTGGTCTAGCTTCAATTGACTCATGATTTCAACCTGTGAAATTTCTAAAAATATCAACAAACCGCTTCTGATAAAACTTAATATCATCAATCACAAACATAAATGATTGTGAATGGTGAATAAACAAAGCATAATCACACAAGATCGAAGAGAATCAATGCGATGGTAAGCATTAAATGCTGTCATTGGTGGGTTCGTTTATCGACCACTCCTTAAACCAAGATTTCGTACCAATTCTATAGACTAGGTACCATTGGTTGTAATTAAAACACTCATTACCCTGAACGCTAATGACATTTACAATAAATACCCTGTTAGATTACCTGCATTCAGAAAGATATGGCAACAAATCGTGAAATACGTATTAGAAACGATTCAAAAGTGAATCGAATAATATTAAAGCTACATCATAAAGTATTCACCATAGATTATGAGAGCCTTCATCTCTAACCTAAAAATCTCATTTTATCATCAGACATTTTATCGACGAGCCGAGGTCAATGTCAACCATTAGTTAGATCGTAATCATGACACCATCAGTATTACTGACACAGCATAACTTCTGGCCTATAAATCACAATCACAATAACTTCAGTAGAAGAGCGATATAAATTTTGAGTTTACACTAGTGTTCAACCGGTATATCATAAATCAAATCTTACAAAGTCATTTGAATTGATCTAAATTTCTTCTACGTCACTTGCATGAGAGAAATGAACTCACTTTTGACATCATCATAGAGTACTGTTATAACTTTCTGTGGTGTTTGTATGAACTAATGATTCCTTGGTACTTGATGACTGCCTGGTTTTGAATTCTAAACACAATATGTTCGTTTGTGTTTAACCAGTTCTGCCTGAATTAAATTGAGTTATTTCGGGAATTCCTAGTTTTTAGAATAATTTAGCTACTTCTAATTATCACATTGGTGTCGCGTTGGAGCCTGTGATGGAACAATTAGATATACATTCTAATTTTCATGCTTTTGAGGATTATTTGGAAAGGTCCGAGATCTGGACTATGACCAAGAAAGATGTTGAGAATGTAAATATTGTGACTCATTTCCTTAAATTCATCGGAGAAGCACACAGCTTACTAAAATCTTTGGCATATTCAGATAAGCCGATTTCACTTCCCTAAACAACTCTCAGAAAACTGCTACTAAACCATGTAAAGTTTAGTAATTTTGAATGCCGTAAATGAGGAGAATTCTATAAAATGATTCGTCAGGACATCAGGAATTCTACTAATTTACTACGTCGTCCCAGATTAATGTTATTCAGATAGCAATTCATTGAATAGTTGCGAAGTAGGTGAAAAAGATGAGCACAAGCTTCGTAAATGCTTGTTCTATGGCAAGTTTCACCCATGTAATTCATGTGCATTTCGTGATGCTAAATGCTTCAACTGTTGAACGACTGGACAAATACAGACACTTTGTTATACTACGATTCATTTCGCTACGAATCATGCTAAACTTTTTAATTCCGATCCTACTAAGTTGAATATGTTCTGATGATCATTTATCTTTATCCACAACTTCAAAAAAACAGTATAAAGTCATATAGCAGTTCATAAATTAAATAAAACTCAGAATCATTGTGAGATAAAAGCTTCCAGTCGATCAACTTCCTATTGGATTTCTCATGTTATTGTACCAGATATCATTTGTCCTAATGATTCACATATTTCTGATGAAATTTCTCATATTTCTGAAGAAAGTATGTTGAATAAATCAGATCATGATCGAAAATCTAATGTAGTTTTGATAGATGCTGATATTCCTAATGATCCTTTACTCTACAATGATATTCTTAATAAATTTGAGCAAACTATTTCAGAAGAATCAAATCCTGATGTCATATCAGATAATACGTATCCCCATAATGCATTTGCTTCTTGTGGGAAACTTGTTCAATGCGAAGTACAAGTACTAAATGAGCTTGAGCTTGATTACAATTCGGATGACTTCATATTAAATGTTGTTTATCCTTATCATGAAGTCACTCTAATCGATGTGAGAAATATGTTTAAAATGAAGCTACATTATTCAGAACTTGGGGATATGAAGATCCAACATTATTTCATGAGGGAGGATAGTGTTGAAAAGTCTATTGTTCAAATTCTAGATGTCAGTGATTTCAGTACACACAACCGACATGATGATTGTATACAATTTTGAAGACCCAGTTGAGTCTGTTTCTATTTCAGTTGTCAATTCTAGTAATAATGAGTATATTCTAGATCATACAGAGTCTACATCTAATACAAAGTTGGACAGACACATAATGAACCTAAGGAGAATAGATAAAATTGATTACAGAAATTCGTATTCTGACTTAAGCTGTGACAGATGTGGTGTTTGTATGAACCAATGATCCCTTTATACTTGATGAATGCCTGGTTTCGAATTATAAATACAGTACGTTCGTTTGTACTCATCAAGTTCCTTGTGACTAAAATTGAATTATTTTGGGGACTCAAATACTTCTAATCACCACAATATGCCATATATCCACTTAATTTAAACTGGCGGTGAGCTAATGCCAAAAAATGCAGGTCGATTTCGTTTATATGTAAGTAGACAGTTACATCGGTCTATGCTCCATTGGGAGTAACAGGCGTAAGTAAGTAAGTAAGACAGTTACATAAATAATTCTAGATAGGGGTAATGGAGAGTAATAGGATTTAGGATGCATAAATCGTCCTAATCGGGACTCGATAGCTGTTAACAATTGAAGGTATATCATAACCACCATATATATAAGTTCTCATACTTTGTACATCATAGTGAGATCGTCATAAAGATGAGGAAATCGATTCCTTTAGAAAGCTTCAAGTCAAATAAACTGAACATCCTGAATTATACTGATAACCACTAATCAAAAAGTAATCAATCTTAAAGACGGGTAGTTTCAAGGCATTCGTTGTATAGAGTTTTCATGTTAACGCAGACTAACCATTAAGATAGGAAATTTATAGAGACTTTTTTTAATACAAAGATAGTTATCATTATGAGTTAACTCTAAATAAAGAGCCACTAAATGCAAAGTTAGAGTAAACATATTTTTTATCCTATTTCATACCTCAACTTCGTAGTGAATAGATTACACCATCTTTAAGTCCCCCAGCAATGTGAGACAATTTCTTACACTATTGAATTATACACTACCGATAGTATCAAGTGATTGTATTTTCATAAATATGAATTATTTGTTCTATGGTTTTCCCCAACCAATTAACAATAATTAGTAGGTCTTTTTTATGAATACAACAAAATGATACACACAATTCAAATCTAGCATCATTGATCAATAAAAATACAGTATAATACATATATAGATCGTGTATAGACCAAATCGCAACTCTACGGATCATTGTGGAACAATCAATTGAATGGAATTCATCACTCTACATCAACTTCATTGACTACGAAAAGGCATTTGATAGAGTGGACAGAACAACACTATGAAAACTTCTTCGACACTACGGCGTGCCTCAGAAGATAGTCAATATCATACAGAGTTCATATGATGGATTACACTGCAAAATCGTGCATAGAGGACAGTTGACAAGGTCGTTCAAGGTGAAGACTGGTGTTAGGCAAGGTTGCTTACTCTCACCCTTCCTCTTTCTCCTGGTGATCGACTGGATCATGAAGACGTCAACGTCTGAAGGGAAGCACGGGATACAATGGACATCTAGGATGCAGTTGGACGATCTAGACTTCGCAGATGATCTGGCCCTTCTATCTCAAACGCAACAACAAATGCAGGAAAAGACGACCAGTGTAGCAGCAGCAGTCTCAGCAGGCAGTAGGTTTCAACAGACATAAAGGGAAAAGCAAGATTCTCCGATACAACACAGCATGCACCAATCCAGTCACAATTGACGGAGAAGATTTGGAAGATGTAAAAACCTTTACATATTTGGGCAGCATCATTGATGAACAGGGTGGATCTGATGCAGATGTGAAGGCGCGGACCGAAAAAGCAAGAGAAGCATATTTACAACTGACGAAATCTGGAACTCAAGGCAACTGTCAACCAACACCAAGGTCAGAATTTTCAACACAAATTTCAAGACAGTTCTACTGTATGGGGCGGAAACTTGGAGAACTACGAAAGCCATCATCCACAAGATACAAGTGTTTATTAACAATTGTCTACGTAAAATACTTCGAATCCGTTAGCCAGACACTATCAGCAACAACCTTCTACGGGAGAGAACAAAGGAGATTCCATTGAAGGAAGAAATCAGGAGGAAGCGCTGGAAGTGGATAGTACACACATTGAGGAAAGCACCCAACTGCGTCACAAGACAAGCCATCACATGGAATCCTCAAGGCCAACGGAAAAGAGGAGGACTAAAGGACACATTACGCCGAGAAATGGAAATAGACATGAGAAGAATGAACAAGAATTGGATGGAGCTAGAAAGGAAGGCTCAGGACAGAGTGGGTTGTAGAATGCTGATCGGCGGCCTATGCTCCATTGGGAGTAACAGGTGTAAGTAAGTAAGTAATAAAACATATACTATTATTACTACTATTACTACTACTACCACTACTGCTACCACTACTACTACTACCTCTACTACTACTATCACTACTACTACTACTACTTCTACTATTAATACCACAACCACCACCACCACCACTACTACTACTACTACCACTACCACTACTGCCACTACTACTACTATTACTACTATTAAGTAGTACCAACAATAACTTACCAATTAAAAGTAATTGAATTTCTTTTTTACGATGTTCATATTCTTGTAATAAAAATTTGTCAATTTTATGACTATGATATCTGGAACGTTTACGAGTTAATTCTTTATTCATTTAAGAATTATCAAATGGATTATGGTTAACATTCATGATTTGTATAGTACTAATTACTACTGATTACTTTATTATTTTTTAATGATATCAGTTTGTTCCAGAATAAGTATAGTTGTATTTGTGTGTGTGTGTATGTGTATTTGCTTGAACGTGGAGTTTTACTTTATACCTTGTCAATAAAGTTTACCTTTCAAAGTTTTAATGACATAATTTCAAGGTTAATCAATTATTCATTGATCCTATGTAACATTTATTCATAAGGATATGATCAAGCGGAATTGGAAAAGTAACCTGATGAATTAATCTTTCATTATTGAATCTGAAAAAAAAAGAGAAAGAATAAAGTAGAAGAAATTCAATGATGTATATCAGTTAAACTGACAGTGTTATACATATGAATTTGTTGTTTCAATGTTTGAATGTGAATTTATATCTACCGAGTACTATAAGATAGTAAATACCCCAAATGCCCTGCTACGGCCGAGAGTGAGGAGAGTCAGCTCTCCCTCTCCAAATGCTCTCGAATGACCACGTGCATACAGTCACTGCCAAGGAAGTCCTACTCATTGCTTTTTCTCAACACGGGTGTTGTTTACAAAATTGAGATGATGAAAAGCGAATGTCCGGCGCTGTAACCGGATTGGTGGATATGTAGGATCCATAGAGGGGAGTTGGAAAACCCTGATTTCGAACCAATATTGCACATAAACTGCAGGATCCTGAAGGAACAAATGACGTATGAACCAATTGTTGGTCCCCAGCTACCATGGGACTGCATCTCCTGACGTTGCTCCACTGCCTTGTGGATCACACCTATAGGTCGGAAGCTCCGGATGTGGCTGGTACGTCTTGCAAATCAAACGCTATATTCGGTTCATAAGCTATTCTTGTAACCCCCAAGCTAGAACTATACAGCGACCTGAACATGAGAGGGAAGGCGCAAAGTATGTGAGAAGTACTTTACTCCAAAGGTTCGTTTTAATACAGAAAATATAGGGTTTTTATAATATTTTAAATGTCCTTGGGTCGCTCGAAGATTCTGGAATGCTACTAAACATAGTAGCAGTACAGCATTCAGCCAATCAGAACCTCTACATGTGACGTTTTACTTCCTTTATATTTCTGGCTAAAACTTCAAGTGAACGCTGATTGGATGAAATGCTTCTTAGTGTTTCCTGATCCTTGCTGGTTTTACCCGAGAAATCTTCTGGATCACCCCAACAGTGGCCCCATGAGAAAACCACCTGTTTCGGTCTGGGCACCCTAGTAGTATCCCATCCCTCATACAAATTGAATGATTTATAAGGCATATATGTATTTGGTGCCTTCTTGTATCAATGTTTATGTGTTTAAATATATAAATAGATAAAACGATGGTAAATGATTAATACTGGACTGGTTTAGCTCGTTAATAAACTAAACTAATTTTGTTTTTTTAAAAATCAATTTGATCACTATAGTACTCAAAAATATTCTCTTTTCGGAGCTGCAGTTACTGCGACTGATGGCACCAGACTTGCCCTCCAATTGGTCCTCGTTAAAGGATTTAAATTGTACTCATTCGAATTACAAAGCCTCAATGGAGTCCCGTATCCGTATTTTTTTGTCACTACCTCCCTATGCCGGGAGTGGGTAATTTCCGCACCTGCCGCCGTCCTTGGATGTGGTAGCCATATTTCAGGCTTCCTCTCCGGAATAAAACACTGATTCCCCGTTACCTGTTATCATCATGGTAGGCAAATCACCTATCAATAAACTGATAAGGTAGATATTTGAAAGATACTTCGCTGACGCAAGGCCGACTGCTATCAGTAAAGTTATCCAAAGTCATCACAGAATGTAACAGCACAGCCGAAGCCGGTTGATTCTGTTCTAATAAATGCACCCGTCTTCTTGCGGGTCAGGGATTTAAGGCATGTATTAGCTCTATAATTACCGCAATTATCCATGTGGCATTTACGATAGAAATATTCTCTTTTTCCCATAAATAAGAATATTAAGTTAGATTATGGAGATTCATTCTGTGTACAACTGAGTGATGTGATCATTTCATGAAACAACTTTATAAAATTAGATGCGAATGGTCTATAGGGGATTTTAGATAAAGGATCATAATACACTGGTAATTCTATGTTACCTATGCTGCATGCTGGTATTTCTTTTTGAGGAACCTAAGAAAAAAGGATTATTCTAATTGATGGTTCCAATGATCTGGAGGTGTAGCGGCAGAGCTCAAAGAATATCTGATTGAAGTTGACCATTTATGGCTATTTCTTGAATGGTTATTTTTGTAGAACTTATTCTATACACTTTTTATCTTAACTCTTAAGATTCATGAAACATATCATAGTACGGATGAGTATTTCTAACCACTCCATCCAGTTTGTAGAAGGGTAGAATGATATTTATTCGCAGAAAATATCACATTTTCTAAGTATCCCGGGACAGTTAACAACACTACTTTGTTCTTATACCTAAAACTTGATAAGTTTTGTTTGGATGGTTTTTAGCCAACCTTCTCTGCACAATAGAACTATAAGTTGTAAATATTTGAGCAAACATATCTCTATTAGATAATCACTATAGTCAGACCTGACCATTGTATAAAAGAAGCAACTACAATTTGGGCAAAGCAACTCTATGATAAATAAAACAATCTAAGCATTCATTTATATCAATAGTTGAGATCATGAGTTATTTGAATCTAGAACACCATGAAAGCACTAGACGGCCGTTCCGTCCTACTGTGGGACTCCTCAGCAGTACACACCCATGATCCCGACTCTCGAGATCCGAACCCAGGGCATATCGGTCTCGCGTGCGAACGCTTAACCATTAGACCACTGAGCCGATCGGCATCCAGCGATGTTTATGTCTTACTTCAACTAATCCACGAAATTGGGCGACACATCCACCATTGTCCACAATGAGTTACTATCTCATAACAGACTCGGTTGAACTCCACTGGTCACTGCTTCTCACTAGAACTCCAGGATATACCTCTTGAAGCCAGTCATTAGTGAGCATATGTTGATAAGTATCGGAAGGGGTTTTGTGGAGTCCCACAATAGGACGAAATGGCCGTCCAGTGCTTCCAGGTTTTTCATAGTGGTCTAGCTTCAACTGACTAATGATTTCAACCATTGAAATTACTACAATCTCTACAAAACCACTTCTGATTCATTTATATAGAAATAACTAAACAAAGAATATGGTTGAAATAACATGAAAATAACCATTGCGAGACATGTTTCATCTACAATACTAATACCTGTGTTAACAAATAAATGATAAAGTCTAATATTATCTCTTTAAAACCGAAACTATAACATTTCCTTTGCCTTACTAAAACAATGCCTGGAGTAAATCAAAACAGTACAGGCTAAAAACAATGTCATTCGATTGTAAACCTGAGATGTATGAGAACATTAAAACAAGATCTTTGCTCTCTGTTCTTTGACTTATATGGTTTAGGATAAATATCATACTCTTTCAACAAAATAGTTGTTATCGTAACTCATCAGCTTATTATACGAAACTTTATTGTTTTAAAAGACGGATGATTGTTATATCCCGATGAGAATAATGAATGGTAACTGTTGGAATCTATTTCTAGACTAATACAATACATTTAGTTTTTATTGTATAAATGTTAAGTGGCTAAACAGTTCATATTCATGTTCCGCTTTTATAAGCTCTATTTTGACGTATAGACTATTATTATACGATTTGCCGCTCATGAGTTATGCTCAGTCTATCAGTTACTATCTTCCACATTCATAGTCATTTTTGACCAAATCATGTATAAATGTTATTTTCTATTTTATAGTACGATGTGGTCTGATTGGTTTGTATACAACCGTTGACCAACAATTGGTTCATACGTCATTTGTTCCTTCAGGATCCTGCAGTTCATGTGCAATAGTGGTTTGGAATCAGAGTTTTCCAACTCCCCTCTATGGATCCTACATATCCACCAATCCGGTTACAGCGCCGGACATTCGCTTTTCATCATCTCAATTTTGTAAACAACACCCGTGTTGAGAAAAAGCAATGAGTAGGACTTCCTTGGCAGTGACTGTATGCACGTGGTCATTCGAGAGCATTTGGAGAGGGAGAGCTGACTCACCCCACTTTTGACCGTACCAAGGCATTTTGGCGGCTATTACATTATATATCAATAAGGCACAAACCCACAAGTTATAACAGTGATCTCTTTTTAAATCTCACTACAAATAACACTATCAATCCACGTACGCCTAATCAAAAAGTCTTAAACAGAACGAAATATGCGTTTCAATCTCCTAAATATATTGCCCATTTGTTTTATCCTCAAAAGAAGTTCCCCATGTTAATTAAAACATTCAACTACAAATGTATCTTCAGTTAGATATCTTCAATTAATGTTTATATTGGATCATTATTTTATTGAATACAAAACAAATGACAATTTGTGTGTACAATTATACCAAAGTTGAAATTGTCTACTTTTAACGTTTTTCATCATGTAACATTTAATAATTGAATTCATGAGTCAATTAAAGCTAAACCACCATGGAAAACTTTAACTGATAGGTCCTGTGTTCGAATCTTGTGGGGCGGGATCGTGGATACTCACTGCTGAGAAGTCCCATACCAGGACGAAACGGCCGTCCATTGCTTTCAGGTTTTCCATTGTGGTCTAGCCACAAAATCTCTCTCTGATTACAAATAATATTTGTTGGTAAGAGAGAGAGAGAGAAGGAAGGAGGGAGATAATATGATTTATACATGAAAATAAGGGAGAAAAGATCAATTAACCTTATTATGGAACAAAATATGTAACAATTTAACTATAATGAATCTATTGATTACGATCAAAAAGTTTTAAGATGAATAAGAAATATGATTAGGTTATATATTAGTGCATCTTTTTATTAGTGACTATCAATAGTATATAAAACAAATACATCTTCCTATTCACAACTAATCAATATAAAATACGTGTTCAACAGGTACATCTTACTGACGAGTGCCACGAAACTCGAGTCCAGGGTTTGCTGTTGACTACCCCCAACCACCATCTAATCTCAACATAGTTCATGCAATGTCGAGTCACCTATACTAGTGGCCACATTGCAACTTGCTTGATAGTATTCGATCTTCACTAAGAAGGAATTGACACACATGACATTGGTCACCACTCAGTGATCAATCAATTGTGATAATAGTTCATTTTTTTATTAGTGGCTATCGATAGAGTATAGAACAAATACATCTTCCTATTTATAACTAATCAATATAAAATACCGATTCAACACAATCGTATTTTTTTCAGTT